GCTGTGTCCTTCTGTGCCTGCTGGACTGGCATACACAGCGTTAGAGCTGCCAGGAGCAGCTGCACAAGAACCATCTCCAGGAATGTGCCCACCCACATCCTTCTCAATATGGGCAACCCCAGAGGCTGCACAGCTGGGCCCCAGCCTGAGCCTCCCTCCCCACAGCACCTGTCATGTACGTTTTTGTTTGTAACCAGCTGCTGGGAACCAGGAACCTAGCTGGACAGTGTAAAGCTCATGCTGACTTCAGAAATCTCAAAGGATAGAGGCTTCCTGTATCTACGGACAGAACAAGTGTCCTATGATGGGGACAGCTCTTTAGGCCTCACTGACACTCACAGAGAGGCCGGCCCTCACCCCACTGCTGCTCCCCTCTCTCTCCCCTGCATCCGTTTTCTCCAGAGTGCAAACCAACATCCAACATGAAATACACCAGACACTTCATCTTTTCGTTAGTTTACTATCCTATGTCTCCTCCTCTAGACTGTATGTGCCAGGAAGGTAGGGTTTGTGACTTTAGGTGTTTAATAATTTTTTTTTGAAGGCCAATGTTCTTTTTTTCCCATTATTGATTACAGAGAGAAAGGGGAGAAAGAGAGCTAGAAACATCAATCATGAGAGAGAATCATTGATTGGCTGCCTCCTCCACTGGCATTGAGCCCACAGCCAGGGCATGTGCCCTCATCAGGAATCAAACCGTGACCTCCTTGTTTATAGGTTGATGCTCAACCACTGTGCTACGCTGGTGAGGCAAGGAGCCAATATTCTTAATTGTCTTGTTCACTGTGAATACATTGAGTGGAGGGGGACTGCTTGGGGAAAGGGGGACTAGATGCAGGACCTCCCACTCTCCCCCAGCCCCCACCTTGTACTCAGGAACTCAGCTCTCTGCCACAACCACAGGGGAAAACACCTCAGCACAAAATAGGTGCATGGGGTGGGGGGCTGTCCTTCTTGTCATCCAGCCCAAATAGGACAGAGTTGCTGTGGCCCATGTGCTTTGCCCTCCACCCCACTGTGACCAGAGGTGTGAGGCCCTGAGGTGAGTGGGTCCCTGACCTATATTTTGGGTTGCAGACCTTCTGCACCTGACTTGCAGGCAGAGCCAGCCTGCTCACAGCACCCAGTGCTCACAGTGGAGCAGCCCGCCCCCCACCCAACTTCATATAATCTTGGCTCTAAGGGGAGAAACCTTCCAATTCATTTGAATTCAAATCCATTCAAACCAGAAGGCGCTGAGAAACTGTATATTTTAAAATAACCTCTCTGGGCACCTTCTCATGCCTAAGACAAAGAGCAAATCTGTGCAGAGGGAGCATAACTTTACAAAAAGAAGCAGATGGGGAGGGCAGGCCCTTCCTCCAGGCTGAGACTCCCCAGAGCAGGCTGAAAGCTGTGCGGGGCACCCGCAGAGAGGGTGGTGACACGGAGCAAGGGCCCCTAGCCCCCCAAGGCTGCCCCTCCCTGAGAGTAATAACCCAACATGTTATTGGACATCAGGGCCCAGGAAGACATGGACAGGAATTTGCAGGAAAGAAAGTAAGGGTTTATTTTAAGAAGTGGCCCATGCCCAGAGACACAGGTGAGGTGATGCTCAAAGGCCTGGGTCCCTGATGGTTTCCAGGGGATGGGTTATATGGGGGAAAAATCACTAATCATGGTGATTAAAGTAGTTAGGGTCATGGTCAAGGGCATGGTCTCTACTTATTGGTCCAGGATAGCTTAGGGCAGTGGTTCTCAACCTTCCTAATGCCGCGACCCTTTAATACAGTTCCTCATGTTGTGGTGACCCCCAACCATAAAATTATTTTCATTGCTACTTCATAACTGTAATTTTGCTACTGTTATGAATCATAATGTAAATATCTGATATGCAGGATGTATTTTCATTGTTACAAATTGAACATAATTAAAGCATAGTGATTAATCACAAAAACAATATGTAATTATATATGTGTTTTCCGATGGTCTTAGGTGACCCCTGTGAAAGGGTCGTTCGACCCCCAAAGAGGTCGCAACCCACAGGTTGAGAACCGCTGGCTTAGGGGCTAGTTAATCAGTGTATCTGGTCAGATGTCAGTTGACTGAAACTCTATCTCTGGATTCAGCACACCTGATCTGTTTCCTAAGATGATTTGATGCCAACCACAGCCTCATAGTCCTGAAGGCTTCATGACTAAGGGAGCAGTTGTGCAGGGGAGAAGGAAGCAGGTGAGTCAGGGTGCAGGATGAGGCCAGTTTTCATCAAAAGGAGAGAAAGGAGAAAAGGTCATATTAAAGAAATCATGTTCTGTGTGGTTGTAAAAGTGTGTCAATCTCTGTAATTTCTACTTCATGTGAACCCCAGAAGTCATCTATTGCAGCCTGAGCTTTTTCTATGCATCTGGGGTTGGGCTATATGCTTTGTTATGGGGAATGGCTGAGTGGGTACGAAAATCATCCCTGCCCAACCCCAAGATGGACACATTTATCCCAAAATTTTCTTTCCAGATCATGAACCCCTTTACCCAGTCCCCCCTGCACTTATGGGGCACAGGGAGCCCCAGAACTGGTCATATCCGTAGCAACTCATGAAGAACCGTGGGAGCATCTGAGCCACCACTTCCTCTGAGAAACCAGAACCAGCTCTGCCCCCTGCCACTGGTCTGCTCACAGGGACTCAGTGTCTTCCCTTCTCCCTGGGAGCTGCTGGGTGCACAGGATGCCACCCCTGGAAGCTGTCATCTTCCTCTCCCTCTGGGCCTGTGAGTTGTCCCCATCATTTCAGTCTACCAGACAGACCCAAGAAATTCTTTACTGTTACCTCTTCACATGTCACTTATTCATGGAAATTTGTTTTTCTCCTGCCATTTGTTCATGGAATTTGTTTTTATTTTCTGCAGTTGGCCTTGGGCAGTTAAAGCTGAAGCAACCTGAAATATCCATTTCCAGGGCAGTCTATAAGAGTGCCCAGATACCTTGTAAGGTGTCTTCTGGCACCTTTAGCAGTGATTACATTCACTGGTACCGGCAGAAACCAGATCAGGGTATAAAACATTTAATAAATGTTGTCTCCACAACTATTGTTGGTGGGAAGAACAACAAACTTGAGGCAAGTAAAGATTCTCAAACTTCCACTTCCACCTTGAGAATAAATTTCTTAGAAAAAGAAGATGAGGCCGTGTACTTCTGTGCCTGCTGGACTGGCATACACAGCGTTAGGATCACCTGCACAAGAACCATCTCCAGGTCTGTGCCCACCCACATCCTTCTCAATATGGGCAACCCCAGAGGCTGCACAGCTGGGTGCCAGCCTGAGCCTCCCTCCCCACAGCACCTGTCATGTACGTTTTTGTTTGTAACCAGCTGCTGGGAACCAGGAACCTAGCTGGACAGTGTAAAGCTCATGCTGACTTCAGAAATCTCAAAGGATAGAGGCTTCCTGTATCTACTGACAGAACACGTGTCCTATGATGGGGACAGCTCTTTAGGCCTCACTGACAATCACAGAGAGGCCGTCCTTCACCCCGCTGCTGCTCCCCCTCCCTCTCCTCTGCTTTCTTTTTTTCCAGAGTTCCAACCAACATGAAATATACCGGACACTTCATATTTTCATTAGTTTACTATCCTATGTCTCCTCCTCTAGACTATGCACCATGAAGTAGGGTTTGTGGCTGTAGGTACTTAATAATGTTATTTATTTATTTTTGAAAGAGCCAGTGTTATTCATTCGCTGTGAATTGCATGGAGGTAGACTGTGGGAAGGACTTGGTACTGGGTCAGGAACATTCCACTCTCCACCTGGTATGCAGGAGCCCCAATCTCTGCCTCAACTGCAGGGAAAAACACCTCAGCACAAAGTAAGAGATGCATGGGGTGGGAGCCCAGCCCTTCCTGCCATCCTGGAACAAACAGCAGAGAGTGCCTAAGACAGAGGTGCTTTGCCCTCCACCCCACTGTGGCCAGAGGTGTGAGGCCTCGAGGTGAGTGGGTCCCTGGCCTATAGTTTGGGTTGCAGACCTGCTGCACCTGACTTGCAGGCAGAGCCAGCCTGCTCACAGCACCCAGCGCTCACAGTGGAGCAGCCCGTCCCCTCTCCAACTTCATATAATCTTGGTTCTAAGGGGAGAAACCTTCCAATTGATTTGAATTCAAATCCATTCAAACCAGAAGGCGCTGAGAAACTGTATATTTTAAAATAACCTCTCTGGACACCTTCTCATGCCTAAGACAAAGAGCAAATCTGTGCAGAGGGAGCATAACTTTACAAAAAGAAGCAGATGGGGAGGGCAGGCCCTTCCTCCAGGCTGAGACTCCCCAGAGCAGGCTGAAAGCTGTGCGGGGCACCCGCAGAGAGGGTGGTGAGGCTGAGCCAGG